GATTTCTCATCATGGGCTTTCGCTTGTTTTTCCTAGGTCCTCCAGTAGAGAGGATAGAATAAGGGTACCCCAGACAGAGGTTAGAGAACAAGGGTACCCTTTTGTCTGCAGTCTATTTTAGTAGGCAAACCCTCCCCCCCAAAAAAAAGGGCACTACTGGGGGCCCGGGACCTGACTGCCCTCGTAAGCTCGTTGTGATTCTCTTCTCACAGCAACAAGAACGCCTCTCATGCGAATGCAGCGCCTGATGCCCTTCACTGTCCACTCCTCGATCTCCGCCTCGGCACCGGCACATGGGTTCTCTTGAGTTGAGGGCGCCCTTTGTCGGAGAAACAGGGGAAATTGGAAAACACGTGTTTGGCCGTTGAAAAGGGAAACGCCAAGAACAATGAATGCTTTCGTGTCCGCAACTTTGAGACCGCATGAGTGTGCCAGAGTTTCTCTCTGAATCAACGGAAAACGAATCCCTTGTTTCATGAAATGCCCACATCTCACCAAACAAATGATGGGACCCAAGCTGCAAGCTAAAATCATGCTGGAACATGTCCAAAATGAGGCGGGGGGGGGGGCTGCCTGTTTTCATTTGCCTTCCCAATTGCATCGCCAGAACGGGTCGAGCTTTGGACAGCTATTCGTCCAGTCTTCACGTGGGACCTGAATGTGAACAAACATGAGACCCGTGGGCGGGGATGGAGATGGGGCCCAGCGGGCCATCACCTCGTCCTGTCAACACAACCGGACAACTTCTTTGGGGGAGTATTCGGAATTAGTTTGCAACAGGTTCCTTGAACGTTGAAAGCTTCGCCCGACTCCAACTTCAAAACCTGGGACCGGGTTGATCATGCTCCCTCTAACGGAGTCCTTGCTTCTTTTCAAGGGAAGGCACACACCCCACCACTAGATCAAAGCTCAACAAGTCAAAACTAAAACGGTCAACAAGTCAAAACGCGGATGACAAAGCTAACGAAAGGACGCCAACTTGATGACATCATACGGCTTGCCTTTGAAAGAGGGGATTTCCCTTTGATTCCCACGCAATTAACAAAGTGGTGCCAAATGGAAAGGTCCCAATCTGTTGACGAATCCTTGCCATATGTGTTGATTTCCAGAACTGTCAACTGATCAAGTTCCTACCTCCAACCGCCCAGCGGCCATGGAAGAGCAAGCATTTGCACTGTTTCTCGCTTTTATTTACACCCTTTGAAGAGAGACCCGAGCAGATTGTTAAAAAGGGACAGTCCCTTTTACACTCTGCCCTGCTCCCGAAAAGACATCCAGGAGCCCGGGAGCCACTAAAACCGTTTCCGCCCGGGTTAGTCCCTCGCCGGTGCTTGTTTTGCGCGTGCGCATCTCTGAGGACACGGTGAATTTCGCAGGAAACTGGGCGGCTTCTGCAGAAATCTCTGGATTCCAAGGTACTAAGCAGGTCTAGCAGAAGGCGAAGGTTCCAAGAGGTTAGGTTCCAAATCTGACGCAAGGACCATCCGAGAGGGGTGATGTTCTATTCGGTCGAAACAAAACTGGAAACCTGACCCTGAGAGTCGGCCTTGAAAGAAAACCAACATACCAAACCATTGAAATCCTCCAGCTTTCGCATTCGCAAAGCACGTTCCTTGGTGGTTCCTTTGGGACAAGCCCAAAACAGATGCCTGTGAACAGTCACGTGCAGCCCAACTCCAGATCTTCGGGCAACCAGCAAGGAATGTGCTAGTTGCAAGATACTTATACAGTACACGCCCCACATATGTCCTGCTTGTTCTGCCGCCATTCCGCGGCCCGTGTACATGCCCGCTTTGTATACACCTTGAGAATCACCCCAGTCACATTTCACCCCCCCCCCCCAAACAAAAAGAGGTACATACAGACTAAACAGTCCCCTGAGGGTTTCTACCCGGGTTTGTCTCAAATGGGCGGCTAACCAAAAAGCAACAAGATGACACTGGGGGCCATGCCCAACAAAACGGGTTCCAACAGACCGCATAACATGGCTACTCACTTCTCGAGATGCCGCGCCGTGCACGGCACACTCTGCCAGGTGAGTGAAGCAAAAGGAAAAGGTTATGGCTAAGAAGAATTCTGTAGGCGCTCACAATATCGGGCTGTTCTCAGACCCCCTGCTAAAAGTTTAACTTTTAGTGGGTTGGACGGAAACCCCACTAAACCCTAAACAAAGCAAAGCCTAAGAGGACGGCTGGGAACCGCCAAGATATGTGCCATGGAACTATCGAGGATAGCCGACGACTTTAATTGTGGGGGACAAAGGTGGGCTTTGGTTGCGCTCAAGCCTCATTCTGTCCCAATGATCCAACTGTGAGATTAAGGAAAGGGAACCTTCATGGTTGCAAGCGTGCGTAGACAAAATTGGCGAAGTCACGCCAACAAGGGGGATGTTCAACCCCCAAGCCGCTTTGTCCAATGCAAGCTGACACTCCCAGATGCTAAACATGTAGCAACTTGTCAAGAAACTGGTTCGGGGGAGAATCAAAAGGTCCCCGATGGGTGTGTTGAGGGTACCCTTTTTGGGGTGGCTCCAAAAGGAAACCAAAAGGAAAAAAACACAAATGGGAGGGGTCCCCCGATTTCAAGACACCAGGTCGCGATTTCAACTGAAACCAAAAAGCAAACTCGTTCATTCACCTGGTGGCCGAGCCGAATTCAATTCTGCCCAATGGCCACCGGCCCCCGCGAATGTGTGGCCGCAGCTTGCCGCAAATGGACACTAGTGAGCTGGCCGAAAAACCTGGGAGTTGATGGAATTAACCAGAACTGGGGTTTGGTCGAATCATTAAACAACACTGGAACTAAGGAAGACTAAGGAAACTGAATGGGTGACCTCATTTCACACTTTGTGAGCTTCTCCTAGCTCAGCTCAAGGCAATTCTCTCAGTTAAGTCTGAGTGATAAATGTGTGATGCTTCCAATAGCCAACATGTATCTTTAAAGGGTTCGTGAAGCACAGGCACACAGACTAGTCAATTACCTTTTCTACTTATCGGGAATCGATCATTGCAAGATGCAATTGCCAAGTCCAGCAGAACTCCCTCTCTAGAGTGAGACACTTAAACGACAACAAATACTCCTTCCCTCACATCTCTAAACCAAAGATAGAGGATAGATCTGTGTACATCACAAGAAACTCAACTGCCAAGCTGATGACTCGTTGCACTGCAGTAGCCCTGGTAGAAGAAGGGAAACGTCTTTGAGGTTGATCATTTTCTTGGGAAAACGAACCAAAGAAATACCACCGCCTGGAATCCGGTACACAACTGGGTTGCGGTACGATCAAGTAAAATCACGGGACCCTTGGGCGCTTCGGGGCACTTGACTCGCGCGAGGTCGGTGGGCGTCGCTTATGGGGAGCAGTTTGCGCCGTCAGCAATGCAGCCCGGGTTCCAGTTTTCAGAAGGCACCCAGTCCCAAAACCAAGGGTTCATCCCAGTTAAGTCCCTCGGGTCATGCGGGCTACCCAAAACGTGGAACCCTGTTGCCGCCAGCAGTTTGCGCTGGCCCATCTTTTCAGCAGATGCACCGCTCGAGTTGGCACGTACCGGTACTGCAACTGAAACGGAACCAAACTGAAAAGCGGTACTGGTATACCGTCTATGTGCAACCAGGATTTCTATTTGTTTGTGATCCCTACTTGTCATCTTTGCTTTGTTGAGTGGCCCACAAAAGTCCTAATTGTTTGTTCCCTACTAAAACAATATGCCCGAAAAGCACAAAACCATTGAACACCCAAAACGGGCTGGAGGTCTTTCTTCGGAGAAACACAAGTATTGGCGAATGGGCGGAAACCTCTTATTGTGGCATGGCTAGCCTGGGACTGCCATCCACTGGCGTCACAGATTGACAGGTTCGGATCTCAGCGGCATCAGAAACGGCGCATGTTTCCAAGTTGACTCGAGGGAAGATACAACCGCCAAATGTTTGTCTAACATCAAATCCTACCCCTATAAGCCGGGGTTGCCAAGTAAGCTGCAACTCAATGCTTGATGTCTATTCTCTGAAACAAATCACCAGCGTTGCCACTCTGCCTCTAGGCTCATAGCTCTCTTCATCTCCAGTCGAGACGTCACACGTTGGAACATGTGTCAAGCTTATCACCCATTTCAATTAAGGGGCCTTGTTTACAAGGCACTAATCACTAACCTATTTTTCTTGAATACCGCCGTCAGGAGAATCCCAAACAAGTCATTCCCGAAAATAACATTGCACCCCCTGACTCATCTGGAGGCTCGTGGATGAGCTCCCAATGTGAGCCAATCGGGCGCTGCAAACCTGTCTGGACAGGGGACTGACTTTGCACAAGAGGTGAGGAATTCCAATCCAACTGCCAGTGGCTGATGGATTTCGTGTCAGAAATAGCAATTTCGGGCCACAAAGATTGAGACACTTTCGACAAAAAGAAACACCGAGGAAGTATAGATTCGCCTCACCCAACGGTATTCATATCCATGCGGGTTAAAAGCTCCATGCCAGGCTCCGACGGTGGCGAGCCGCACCCGTTTTGGTTCCCCTGATTAACATGGCCTCGTAAACAGCTGGGCGTCTTGCTTCCCGTGGGGTCTGTTTGTTTTTTGAATGGCGCGCAATGCGGGCCACATGACTAGAGCTTAAGACGCACGCCCATAGGCCCACGTAATCAGACATTCCCAAGGCTGAGCGACCCTGAAGCTTGCAGCCCAATTGCCGGCAGAAGCAACCTTCAAAGCTGGTGTCAAGGGTGCCCTGTTTGGACTTTCAGGGGAGCCAGTTGCCCGGAGACCCTGGTGGAAAAGGAAACTAAGGGAACCCTTTTCGGGGTTGACCGAGTTTTTGGTTCTAAGGGTTGATTCCCTTTTCTCTTCACCCATTGTCCGCAACAAAAGCCACCAACTTGACCACATATTAGTGTAATTCTACCAAACATAGGGATCCCCCAGCAGAACGAAAACGGAGCTTACGGCCAGGAAATCCAGTGAGCAGGGGACCACGGAGCCTGTCACTGTACGTCGGCTCCGCTATCGCTCAACGGCGGGCGCCTTGCAAATCCTCGGCAGGAAGGCGCGAGAGAAGCTGATAATCCAATTTTATGGTCATTTCAAAACACCAAAAAAGGCACTTGGAGTCTCCTTTGGACCCTTAAACAATATGGTCATTCCCCAAACTCAAGGGGTCATGACCCATGTTTAAATGATCATGGAGACTCCGGGTACCCTCAACAAAGAAGCCCCTTAGTCTGTCTCCGCTTCTGCCAACTGAAGATAACATCTTTAGATGTTGGTCCATTCTGGTGAACCTGGACGCATGACGAGGTCATTTGAGCCCCGTGGTTGGCTTCCGTGCTACTTGTGGTACTTGGCCCAACTCCATAGTACACCAAAATGAAAGGTTCCGATTCTGTGCCATATTCACTCCGCGCTAATATATGCAATTCAGGAGATTGCAGAACCCAATTAACAAGTTGCTTGCAAGGAAAGCCAAAACAAAGCCCACCAATTTTCGGTGCCCTATACAATTTGACACATGCCCAAATCTACGTCAACCCCCCTGGGTCATGGTGTGGTGTTAGCTCAATAGGAATTATTATACATCGGCTACGCAGAAAAACCGAAGGGCTCGCAATCACTGTCCGCCAAAACCCATTCGCACCAGCTGTAGGTAGTGCAAAACTAGGTCCTCCAGTAGAGAGGTTACCGTTTCTTTCTTCTGCAGCCTATTTTAGGGGAACCGAATCTCCCCCAAAAAAGAAACGGCAAAAGAAACGGCACCTAGCTGGGGGGGACCTTGAAACCCGCAGCTTTCGGTGCGGTTTCATCGGCTCAGCGCCCTGCGGGCACTGCAGGGAGATCGGGCCGCCTGTGGTCAGCCAGCGGTCGATGCAGGCCCTGCGGGGGAGACGCACCGATGCGAGCTGCGCCGGGTGTGGGATGATCAGAGTTTGTTTTGTTCTGATTACTAGTGATATTCCCACTGGTATTTCTATAGTTAGTAGTATTCGTACCTCATGCTGTCCACTCGCCAGTACCCATCAATGGGGCTACTACCGAAGACCAGCTTGTTCTGCAGTTAGTTACATCCCAAATCCTGTTTCTCCCTGACAGGCGCCCAGATTTTGGACTGCTCCAATAGAACTCATCAAACCACAGGTGACACCTGAACCGCGAATGAATCATCCCGGGTTTCAACCAGTACCTGATGCTGAAGAGAAAGGGCGCTTGTTCACTTGAGCCACTTCACTGATTGTGAGTCTCAGAACACCCAAGTCCCCTTGAATTTCGCTTCGACCCACCTGGTAGCAACCATAGACTCTCTCAAGCAAACCCCAAACTAGGCAGTAGAACCCTCCTCACAAGTAATTGGCCAACAAGGGTTTTGGACAAAACAGCCAATAGCTGACAATGCTTGCGGAAAAAAGCTCACGCATCAGGTCGCAGCAAAACAGACACAAACACTGCCGAACCAAAAGCAGTGCTCGCAAATTCAGGGCCGCTCTTAAGGACGGTCTTGTTGCCATTCGTCCAGATCCATCGTTTGTGACCTCCCCACATTCTGAGGACACTCTCAGAGCAAGTGGCGGATCGCGCCTGTGATAAGTGTGCGAGCACGGCAGCTTTCGAACCTCCTCCCCCATCTCGTAGGCCTCTTCACGTTTTCGGAAGCTCTTGGAACCGGAAGTACCTACATATGGGTATATTACGTGTATGCGGAGTATTCAATGCAATATGTGTGTTGCATGTGTATATATATATTTACATATACATATATATATATATATATGTATATATATATAAAGAATACATTACATAGATCCGGCATGTACTCCAGGGCACATAGCTATTTCCCTTGAGAGGCGATCAGAGTGTGGCCTAAAAACAGCAAGGGCCCCTTGTTTTAAGGGAATGCAAAAAGAAGCCAGCTAGCTTCGGGCAGGGTCCATGCGCAAACAGAAACGCCGGGACACTCCACTCGTGAGTCTATGCGCTCAAACCATGGAGCCTTGTCTTTCGATTCCCGTAGGAAACACTGGGGTTGGGTCGTGTCACTCACCTGGGTTGACCAAGCTAGTGGTGAGATGTGGCGAGCTAGGTGAAAAAGCCCTTCATAGCCCCCGAGCAGACGTGGCACAAGACGCTTGCCCGCGAAAGGCATCAGAAGGCTCAGTCCTCAAACTCTCCAAGCCCCTGCAAGAGAATTCCCAAGAGCCCTAAGGTGTTGAGACATGTGACTTGGGCTTGACACCCGGCATACGACAAAAGGTGGAAGCCAAACTCGCAAACGCAACTGAAGCACCAAGTGGAAGAACTGACACCAACCAGATTTGTTTTTAGGATTCATTCCAAAAAGACAATTTAGATGCGGTTGATGCCCTCTAGGCAACTGGGAGTCTGCATCGATAGTGTATTCTCGACCCATGGAGAACCCTTTTCTGCCTTACCCAACAACTCAACACCATCGCAAGTTTCCTATCCCCCGAGCGAAGAGCCTTTGGAAAGGTTTCCTGGTGACTGGCCGCAAGGCTGTCAATTCGTAAAGGAGCCCTGCTTGACAATTGCACCCGGTGCTTCCACATACCGCCATAGAGGGTAACCAGAAAAGTTGACCTCTAGGTCTAGGTCCTACATAGGTTTACATGATGGCTTCCCCTGGTTACCTACAACAATGGCAACTGGAGGCACAGGGACATGTGTGCGGGTTCTCCAGACGCTGGAACCGGAGGTTGGATCAAAATTCCTGGCTCCCAAGTCACAATGGCTAACTTTCCCGTGGCTGAAAAATCACATCCAGGGACGTTTTGAATCCCCCCCGTTGGTCGTGGGAGTCGGATTCAATCTCCTCCCGTGGCGGGGCTCGGCAGGTCCCGGCGCCTCCTGGCAAATCACGCAGGTCTTGTCCTCGCCACCGCAGTATCGATACCTTGGACCCAAGTCAGTTTGGCCACCCGACCTCCGAACATCCATGCAAGCCACTCGCCTGTGTGGGTCACCAAGGAAAACACATACAGCCTGGAAATCCGGAAGACTGGGGAAGAGAAGAAAAGAACACGGGGTGAAATCTTACTCTGGCTGGGGAGATAGACGTATATTGTGTTCTCCAAACAAGCCGCAGTCTGGAAAAAATGCAGATGGGTGCTCAAGGCTCCAATGCAACTCTCGCCGACCTTCCGAAGCCCAAAGGACTTAGAGAAATCATTGCCTGGAACCTTTTGAACCTTCCTTTCTGAAGGACCTTTTCGAAAACCGTTCTTTTGTTTCAAGAACCGTTCTTTTGACCAGCGGGCCGTATTTTAGCTGATTACTCTGATCCGCTTGCAATCCAGTAGGTTGAGAGCCTGATGAAGGCTTAGAGGGGCAACAACATGCACAGTGTGCTGTGGATTGTTCTCCAAATACAACTGAAGATTCCTGCAATCTCGGTAGAAAGCTCACCATGCTCTGATGCGCTCATGTTGGCTGGCTCAGGATTGAGGTTCCCATTTTGCAACTGCAACAGCAGTAGCCCACAAAGTATCGGTGCATGAAACAATCAGATCACGTTTGTCAAGCTATTTGGGTCACCTGAGAAATGTACTGGTTGCACTGGCCTACGGTCGGCCTAAGCCCTGCCCGCAAGCGTGCTCGCTTTTTCACCTTGGACAAGCTCACTGCGATCGGAGGGCTTGGGCCTCGGGCGGTTGAGCAGGCATTGGCGCGATCGGAGAACGTCAGTTGGGCTTATGCCACCGTTTGCTGGAAATTCTAGATTGCATGCCACACCCTCTAACCTCATCAAGGGGTGGTTGAAAATCCAACTAGGGCATTCTTTCAATGATGCCTGTGAAGTCAAACCGTATATGGCTCTCCCCAAGCTAAGGGCTTCTTCCTTGTTCCAAAGGTATAGGTCCCCCATGAAATGTTCATTCAGCAACGAGCGCCCAATATCTTTGGAGGAAACAAACTGGGCGCATCAGCGTATGAGCATGCGCCACACTGAAAGAGTTTCGGCCCTGGTTTAGCCCGCGCACCCTTCTTGGCATGGCGGAAAAGGGTAGTGGTGATGCACCTGCCCCTACTGGCTTGGCAGAACGATGGGAGGCTTCCCGCGATGTCAGGGACAGGGCGCGGGCAACTGGCAGCTTGCTCAAGTTTGAGGAGGGCTGCAATATGCCAACCATCACGGTCAAGAGTGCTGAAGCCAACTTCGATGTCTTGATGCCCCTGTTTTGCCTCTTGAGGGATGCCAACCCGGGGGACTTGGCCACTCCTAGCATCAAGATGCTGGAGCATGAGCTTCTTTGTTGCAGCTTCAGCACATTGACTTGATTCCTGGTAAGTCCTCTTCTCAACAGAGAAAAAACTTGAATGCGGCTGAAATGAATGTCATAATTTTGCCAAATGAACCAAACTCATTTATATTAATTTCACTTACACCCTTTCACCGACACAAATGCACAGACCCCTTTTCGGAGAAGACTGTTGCCTTTTGGGGAAAGGCTCTCCCAAAATTGCTTTTACGACCTGGGGCCGCCTCAGGCTGACCACCTTCCAAACGCTACTGGGCAACCCTCCAGACAAGAAGCAGAAGAAGCTTGATGCTTGGCGTCTCAAGAAGCATGTGGTCCTGGTAAAGAGGAAACTTCAACGAGGGCAAGTTCCACGCTCGGCTAGCTTCAGGCAGCTCATGGCTGTGGTTGCACCCGAGTTTGAGGAGAGTTGCTGCTCATGGTTTTCATTGTTTGACCATTTGACAGGGTTTCGACTTCGAGTACGTTTAGCATAAACAACGCACATGCATATCTGACACGGCCACCCCGATGAAGCCCATCAATTGACTGTATTTCCGAAGGGACGAGCTATTTCGCGCGCGCCGTGTCTATACTGTACTGTCATGTGACTCCATGTGTTTTTTTTTGGTGCGTGCCTTCAGGACAGTTCTGCGCTCGACATCCCTGCGACGCAGCCTCCTGAGGAGGACGATGACGAGGAGCAGGCGGTGGAGGAGGTTCTGGAGATCGAGGACGAAGATGACACGGAGTGCGAGAAAGACTGCGGTCTCTTTGAGGATGGTGCCCAGCCTGCGGGAAAGGGTGTGCCCACCCATGACACACAGACGGAGGAGGACAACCAGGTCGACAGCCCGAAGCTGAAGACCCCGAAGAAGAAGTTGTTTAGCGAGCTGCAAGACGAAGATGTGGAGGAGATGCAGAGGAAAATCAACCGGCTGAAGAAGCTCCGGAGCTCTGTGCGACTTGGCCAGACGAAGCAACCTACACATGCGGGTGACGAGTCTTAAGTTGACGCTGGTGGTTTTACCTTCCCTGCCTTGAATACACACACGCGAGCATGTTTACCCCTGTATGTGCTGAGACCTGTGTAGAGCATAACGGCTATTTGGATCTTACACTTCTGATCTACTTGATGTTTTGCAATAAGTGATAAGCGTTTGTTTTCCCAAACCTAGGCTGGCGCAGCAAATGGCATCCTCGTCCAAAACACCCTCGCCACCCACATCTTTAGCGCACACTGCCCATCATGAGCCAGTCTTGGTGGAGGATTCCCTGCCTTATGGAGATGATAATGCAGACACCTACCAAGCCCCTGAGATCAGTGTGGCCGCAGCCGTGAACCGCTTCAACGTGGAGGTCAAGGATGCCGACCTGGCCGACCCCTGCGATGGGAAACCAGCCCCTAGTTCTTTACACAGTAGTATTTTAAGTCTCAGCATTTTATTTGGGCGTGCTTTGGCCACGGTCTACAAGTTGAATGCGTGCCTACTCAAAACAACGCAGGGTGGTTGGGCTTGTGTGTAACTTGATGCGTCTACAGTTTGATGGCGTGAACACGCGTGCCTTTTAGACACTTCGGACGGCCGGAGAAGAGATGCGCCTTCCCTTTTGTTTTTGCTTGGGCTTTTCACGCAGGTTCTGCGCCGCCAGCAGCTTGCCCTGAAGAACGCGGTGGTGGAGGACGAGGGCGAGGAGAAGCCGGATGGCGCGAAGGGGAAGGCGAAAGCAAAGGCGAAAGGCAAGGCGAAGGCGAAGGCGAAGGGGAAGGCAAAAGCAAAGGGGAAGGCGAAGGCAAAGAGTGCTGGCAAGGTGAAGCGGGTAGAGGCAGACGATGCTACTACTGAGGGCAAGCAGCCTGCGAGCAATGAGGCTGTGGGTGATGAGGCTGTGGGTGATGAGGCTTTGGGCGCTGAGGCCGCGGGCGATGAGGCTGCGGACGCGGGCGATGAGGTTGCCGGAGATCAGGCTGCTGCAGATCAGGTTTCTGCAGATCAGGGACGAGGGCGGGCAGGCAAGCGAGGACGTGGCAAGGACAAGGCAGCGAAGACTGCAGGGAGCTGCGCTAGCCAGACTACGCCAACCAAGCGGTGTGAGCCGGAGCCGGCAGGGGATGATGAGCCAAAGCCCAAAGCCAAGGCTCGAGCATCCAGGAGCAGGGCGCCTCGAGTGCCTGAGGCAGATGGTGGCGCCAGCACGTTCGCGAAGCGGAAGCGCCCCAACACGGAGTTTGGCGCCTTGAAGTGGGGAGCTTTGCGACAAGCCTTTATGGCGACCGTGAAGCCGAATGTGACCGCCTACTCTGCGCACGAGGACTCGACAATGACACCTAAATTCGCTCCTTCATAGCCGTTGCAGAAGGAACTATAACCATGCAAGTCAGAGATGGTTCAGTTTTGATGAACGCTAAAATGATGAGCGTACTTCGATCAGATTCATGGAGTCACGCGTTTTTTCGGCACACATGTGCGTTGTCCGGTTTGCGTGTGAAACGCATATTAGCATGTTGTGGCATTCTTGGTGGTGAAAACATGTATGGCTTTCCATGAAGCATGTTGGTTTCAAAGGCCCGGTGAATGCCGTAAAATGGGGCCAGCTATTGTTTTTTCCATAGCCGTATACCGTATATCCGCAAGGCAATATTTTTGGGGGCAAGCAGCAAAACTAAGGGGTCACCTAATTGGGCGTTGGCCCTCATTGTCATTGGATCAAACTGGACATGAGGACTACTTCTGGACCTTTTGCTCTGAGAACTTTCTGAAGAACAAGGATGTCAACCCGGAAGCCCTTCCCCAGCTTGCCCAGCAAGCCGCGACTGAGTACCTGGCAATGACCCAGCGGCTGACCACGCCCAGCTGAATTGCAAGAGCCTGCGCAGCCAGCGAGGGGACCCGTAAATCTTATGCAGGTGCAGTTGGTGCAAGTTTCTTTTTGGGCCCACAGCTTTTCAGCTCATAACTTAGAACAGTGTCAAAGCTGAGGACTTGTGAAAAGGACCCCTTGCTGGTAAGGGTTTAAACCATGCAGTTTTAAGGGTGACATATGTCACTCTTGTTCGCGTATCGATCCCTCCTTCAGTGGCAGGGGCTGTGATCAGGCTAGATGGCTGTGCGAAGAATCCTGGGGTAGCATCCTGAAGCTTGCAACGTTTTAGAGTTTCAGTCCTACATCATCTATGAGTTGCCGCTTTAGCTCAGCTGTTGATGTTGTCACAAGCAAGCCCAAAGGATGCCTTGGTCCACAGTCTCCCCTGATCTGGTTGCTTTGCCATCTATACAATCGAGGGGGTCACATTTGGTCGGAAAAAGCTGGATGCTCGAAGGCTTTCATGATTGCTCCATCTTGCAAGTTCCAGCGCGAGAAATTGTTGGAGAAAATTGGCATTGTGCATTTGCCCACACTTACCTGAACTGGCTCCGCCCAGGTCATTTCACGATGGCTCATGGTGAAGGCTGGAGGCGGCGCCTGTGGCCACGAAACTCTCCCAGACGTGGGCCAAGCATGTTTCTATTCTTGCACTGCGTGCCATCATTGAGAGGTTGAGAGAATGTCCTTTCTCCATTCTGAAAGGTGGGCAATATTTGCGCAGGCGTGGTGCTGAGGGGAACGCCCCGTACGAAATTGTAACAGTTCAAGATCCCCAAGCCACAAATAATGACAGAGGGTCCCTGGCCAGCAATATTGCCCACCGCTTGCATGTTGCGTGAATGCTCTTAGCAAAGTTGGATCTGCATTGATCCGTCCGGCCACGGAGCAATTGTTGCCTCAAGCGCGCAGGGTTGCAATCTTCAATTGCAATGGACCCGATTTGCGAGTCGAAGATGAACACGGTTCTTAAGCGGCTGCATGTTCTGAATGCCCCAAAGGTGGGGGGCTGACCACATTGGAACATGCCTTCACGGGTTCCTGCGGCGTTGTTCCCTTACTCTAGCCATCTTGCCCGCCCCTGCAGATCCTCATGGCCTGCATCATCCTTTTGGCACTGTCGGATGAGACCCCGGTGTTTCAGGAGGCTTGGTGGGAATTCGGGGGTGCGTATGTTGAATTACAAGCGAACAACAGTTGCATGACCTTCCTGAAAGATAAACGGTTTGGGCGGAACAAGATCTCCCTTCACTGGTGTGGCAAACGCGCTCACTAGCCTGTTTCCCTTATAGATGGTCTTGGGGGAAAACCTTGCAGACCTACTCCTTTGTAGAGCTGTTCGCAGGGCAGGCCTGGGTGAGCCGGTGCATGAAGTCAGCCGGCCACGCAGTTGCATGCCTTGACATACGTTTTGGCGAGCCGGAGCCGAACAAGCAAGACTATATGGACTTGTTAAGCGATGCAGGATTCTCGCACCTTGCGCAATATATGCATGTTTTTCTTTGATTCTGAAACTCAAGGACGTGTCAAAGCACTTTTTGTTTGCATCTCAGCCGGGTCCTCCATCCAATAGGGCATGAGTTTTCAACTTCAACATATTACTGTTTTCAACGGAGCCAATTGAGGCCTGTGCCTTTTGCAGGTGTGGCGGAGTTGTTGTTTTAAAGAACATACATGACGAGTAACGATACATGTGTGTGCTTGTCGGCTTTGGGAGTCTTCCTGGTGGATTGTTGACATGCTTCTCAACAGAAATGAGGCTGGCGCTGCTCACAATCCTCAACTGTTGCCTTGACAACTTCCATGTCTTCATTGGACTGTGCTGCTCATCCTGGGTAACAATCTCGGCTGGGACCCACGGGCGATCCCCATCGCGGCCTTTGGGGCAGAACCACCTGTGGTTTGTTGAGTCTGGCAACCAGCTCACAAGCCGGAGTCTTGCCAACCTTCCAAGTCCATGTGTATTTGGTTTGAATATGGTTCCCGTTTATGGGCTCTGTGCTCCCATGTCCCTTTGTTTACTCTCTTTTTTTGTGTGTCAGGCGAGCAGCAAAAACCATCATAAGTTTTGAGGGTGTTCCCAACGAGCACTTGCAGCAAAAAAGTATTTTCCATTCGGCGCAAGGTTGGCGCTAAACCCCACATTCTTTTCAGGGGGTGCGACATCCTTCCTCCTTCATTTTGAGACTGACTCCTCAATTCGATCATTTCAAGCTGATGCGACAACCCACCACCTCGACCACCTTCATTCCCAACGCGGCACACAACCCCCCCTTGTTGTTGAACGCAATGAATTTCATTTTCATGGTGATGTGAAATCACCTTCCATTTCCAAAGCAAACAAAATTCCTTTCATTGTCAATTTCAGGGCGGCCCAAGGTTCCCAATCCACACTGCCTTTGTATTGGGCCGCGCAAATCGAGTTTTCCCCACCCCGCTCCGTGTTGGGAGCAAAAGGGTTCCGCATGCGGGGTTCGGAATGAGAAGGAGGGGCATTGGGTTTGAGAGAAACGCAATCCGTTTGAGGGGCATTAAGAGGAAGTGTTCCATTTGGGGGTGGGGAAGGAATCCGTTCCGGCAACAGAGGGGCGTCCATTTTATTTTGGTTGGCGTCAAGAGGGGTCCATTTTGGGAGCAAAAAGGAATTCCGTTTGGAGGGTGTCAAAAGGGATCCGTTCTGGGACCAAAACGCGCTTCAATTTAGGGGATCCGTTTTGGGAGCAACAAAGCTTTAATTGCATGCTTCTATTTCAAGAGCCTCAAGAGGGATCCAAAAAAGGCTTCCATTTTGGGTGTGTTCAGAAAATCCGTTTAGGGACGAAAAAGCCGAAAGAAGGTGGGAGAGGGAGGGGGAAAGAAGTGCTTCCGTTCAGGGGCGTGAAGAGGGATCTTCCATTTGGGGGACATTAAGAAAGAGGAATTTTAGGTGCTAAGCAGGAACCCGTTTTTTGGACCAAAAGGCCTTTCATTTGGGATGAGGGATCCGCTTTTGATGAACAAGGAGGGGATCCGTTTTGGGAGCAAAACATTTAGGGTCCACTTTTCAAGAACCAGCAAACTCATCCCTTTCATCCCCAATATTCCAGAACCCTGGTAAACTGAAGGCGGGGGACCTCCCTTCAAAATCAAATTGAAAAAGGTGTGGGGGGTTGCGCGTTGCTCTGAAACAGTTTGATAAGTTCCCCCACAACCCCCACCCTGTCCCTCCGTCTTCCCTAGCCGAGGACCACCCTCTTGGTCTACGCCATCTCTGCCATGGGCGGGGCATGGTCGCTGGAGCAGCCCAGGAGCAGCCTTGTCACGTGGCACCCGCGAATGATCGACCTTTTTGCGCATTTGCCCCAGGCAGGCAGGGGTTTATGTTTGAGATTGAAATAGCCGGCAATGTTCACTTTTTTGAGGGGAGCAATGACCCCTTCAGATATGGCAAGCTTCTTGGTGGATGGCCCATTACGGGTCTTGGAGCCCAAAGAGGCATGTGGCTTGGTCAAGTTCTTGGGCCATTGGCGACCTCAATTTGGGCAAGCTGTCTTCGACTTTGCGCAAGAAGCTTTCTGGTGTTGCACAGAAGTCCGCGGTCGCCTACCGCAACAAGCATGGGGTCAAGAGATTTCATGGGACTCGGTTCCTGCGATCCACCGGGTGGGGGCCTTGGTTGACGGGGACCGGTTGTTCTTTTAACTGGTGTTCAGCCTCTGAACCATGGACTCTAAAATACTTCTCAGTGTGCTTGCCCGTTTGAGGAACTACCCTCCCAGATTTGGCTTGAAGATCACACGCCTCCACGAGCGCTTCTGCAAGAACAGGGTGAGCCACCCACCTATACCTCCTGCTCTTTTGAGCACGCCTTTGAAGCCTTGGTTCATGGCGCTTCCCTGGGGCGATTTGTGGGATGACGCCAACGCTTACTCGGTGCTTACATATTTGCGGGGCAGCGCTTCGCTACTTTTGAGCGATTGGCGTGAAGCCTTTCCCTCCAAGTTGTAGTTACACAACAGGTTCAGGCAGGCATGAATGAGCATGCGCCTGTAGTGGAAATTCGCAAGAGCATGTCTTCATGCCTCCCAATTAGAACAAATTGCACTCATTTTCGATGCTGTGGGAAACTTGAGCTGCATGTAGGTATATAGTTTCAAGCAACCCTCAACGCTGGTAGGAACCAAGCTCCAATCAAACCCACCAAATTGGGAAAAGAAGCCGAGGCCAACCCTCCAACTTATATGTACAAGTGCTTTTGTTGGCGATTTGGGGAAGAGGCAAACTCAGGAACATGGGGATGTTGACACACATGCTACCAAAATCAGCGATGCTAAGGGCAAACCAAAGGGGCGCAGGGGAGGAAGAGGAATGGGAAAGGGAGGAAGGCAAATAAACAGCTTGGTGGATCCCCTACAGAAAAGCCGTCAGCCTTCAACATGTCCTTTTCTGCAGGGGTGCTTGTGGCAAACATAGTCATTTGTCCGAGCGCACCCTTTCTGGGTTGTTTTAATGGGGGAAAGGGAAACCAATTCCGTAGCAGATCTTGGGCCCTCCAATCACAAGAAACACATCTCACCGTTCAATTGCGGCAGGTGGCATTTACCCTTGTCATTATCAGAGCGATGTGAATTGGATGATTCCTGCTCTCATTGTTGGGGTGAAACGAATTCCCTCTTCCTTCTGTCCTTTCTTGCTGCCGTGATCATGGTTTGTGTCCAAAGTTCAAGGGCAAAGTTGCTGCAACACTGTTTTGCAAATGTTCATTGATTGGGTTGCCTGTTTTCATAATTCCCATGGTTCCCCGTCTTGAGCTATGATGTAGTTTTACCAGTGGTTAGCATGTTGATGTCCGAGTACGTACTAGTACGTACAAAATACATACCAGCATGCGCAAAATACGTACCGGTACGTATCAAAAAAAACAACCCGTACTCGGACCGTATTTTCCCGTACAAGGACCGTATTTTTCCGTACCAGAATACGTACTTTTTCCGTATTCCGGGCTTTTCCAACTACATGCGTTTTGCCAGGAACAGTAGAGATTTAATAGCCGAATTGCATGGGCTCACGGGCCTACATTTGATCCACAAGCAAACCCATCGACCATCCCTGCTGCTCTCAGGCTCCCGGCGGTTGGTCCCGTAGGTCACATCCTGCGCCGGCATGAAACAAAAGGAGACCATGCGGTCAAGGCAATGGAGTTGCTCTGCGCTGCATGATGGGAATGCGAAGTTGGTGGCAGTTAAGAAGGAAGGCGAGCGCCCAGATGAAATCCAAAAGCAAATCGAGGAGCTTCCCAACACTGTGCAGTTCCCATATGGGGTTATTTTGCCGGTAGCCCTTGGTTGCCATCCATGCCCGACACCTGGAAAACATATTTGTGCAACATGCTGCAGGAACACGAGAAACAGCTTGCTGAGCTGATCGCGAAGAAGAAGGCCATTGAAGTTGTTTTTGGACACATGATATTCCAACGAAAAAGCATCGTAGATTGGAAGACTACACTTCAGTTCACTTGCTGTTGGCACTTGCGTTGAAAAATATTGAAAACCTAAGCCTTCCACTGGCCCCTTTTTGGAGTACAGGCTGAGCAAGAGACACAACCAGCTTCTTGGCTGATACAGCTAGCTGACAGGCCACGCTTGTAAGTGCCAATTAAGCTTGTGCTTAAGGGCTCATTCCATGTGTGTGTGTGTGCACTTTTACGAGTCTGCCGGGAGAAAGAACCAGCCTAGGCAACCCCTGATGAGCTTGCCGCTGATCAAGCCAATGCCCGCCATACTGCAGCCAAAGCAAAAGCAAAGCCAAAAAGTGCCCCTGCAAAACGGCAGGCTAAGTCGGCACCCACCAAGCAACCTGCCAACGAAGTTGCCACCCCCCGTCCAGAAAAGGCTCCTCAAGCCAAAGCTCGGGCAACTTCCAACTCTGGAAAGCGTGCGGCTGTTGGTGATCCGGCCACCCCTCCCAGGGCCTCGGCCGCAAGGGTGCCCTCGAAGAGCTCCAGCGGGAAGCCTGGGGATTCGGCTCAGGAAGAGTTGGCAGCTTTGAGAGAGGCTGGCTTTGACGCATGAGTCGTTTTGTAGAATTGCCGTTGCAACGAAACATCAGTGGACGGATTAGCGGAAAGTGTTGGCTTGCAAGTTCCTTTCAACCAGGCTGCCAAAGGACTTATCCGGGTGGACGTTTAGAGCGAAAACCAAGCCCAAAGTCGAGACCAAGCAACAAGTCTCTTTGTTGGTGCCCTGCGATTCCCTGGAGGCCAACCGGAAGATGCAGCAGGAGCTGAACAAAATGAAGAGTCAACAGGAGGACGAAAGCTCTACCAGGACACCATCAACAGCACCTTCACACTCCCCGCCCAACACTTTGACGAAGAAGCCACAGGCAAAAACCAAGTCAGGCTTCGGAAAAGTAAGCCTTGACAAGCACAAAGCCCGCAGGTCGACCAAGCAGCAGACTGATGGAGAAAGCGAGCAAAGTGATCAAAGCAGCAACCATGACATGAGTGAGGACAAGGAGCACGAGGATGATGAATGCAACCAGGAGGAGGATTGCATGGATGGTGATGATGAGGAGGATGCAGATGACAAGGAAAACCCCGAGGACACCAGCAAAAGCAAAGGTGGCAAGCAACAGCAGACATGGTCCAAAATCCCGCAGACGCACGCTGCAAAAAAAATCGGCTCCGCAGGATGTGCGAAGTCAAGCCAAGTGGCAGGATCAATGTGCCCGATGTTGTGCATGAGGCTTGGAAGAACGGCTCGTCGGACGACAGGGATGAGATGATCGCCGCCTTGGACGCATGTGGGTGGGTGAAGGACCCTTGGAGTTGATTGTCCCTGGCATCGCTCTTACCCCCAATATGTAACGGGACATGTCCCGTTTGAAGCTTGAGCGTTTTTGAACAACACAGCTTGCTATGTCACAAGGAGGACAATGATACCCATGCAACCGTTACTGGGCGGCCATGACAGCTGGGGGACAATACTTGCACGACTTGCTTGGTTCCATTGGCATTCACACGTAGCATTGGTCGAAGGACGACTTCGTGAAGCGAACCGTGAAGTCCCGAGAGAAGATCAACCGAAAATCGGCAAAGAAAAAGCGCGGGTGGTACACACCCGAGGGTATGGCCAAGAAATTGTGCTGGAGCTCGTGCCTTTTCTCAATGGATGTTTTGGCACCCCGGGTCCTGCTTGCCAAAACATTGCAGCAAAAACACGAGAAAAGCATGTGGACGCATCAGTATGTCTGGTTCAGTGGGAACTTCCGGTCCTATTCCCACGTTGTTCAAGACCAACTCCAATTGGTTCAACTCTTGGCAAACCAAAGGCTCTTCTTCTGTGCAACAAGAGGTCAGTTGAATTGGCTAGCTTGTTTTCCTTTTGCCGAGGTCCTACATCAAGGGAGCTGTGAAATACTGCGAGCGCAAGGGCAACGAGCACCTGTGCAAGAGTCTTGCCAGCAAGGGGCTGCCTTTCTTTGGTTTCGTGCACATGGGCAGTCAGAAGTCTCTGTCCTTATATTTGCCATTAGGTTTGCGGACTTGGTTTTCTGTTGGCTTTGGGGGTTGGGGCAATGCTCAAAAAATCAGGCAGGACAAGTACAACAAGAAGATCACCAAATATTACGTTGAGTATGAAGAAGATGATGAGAGTGCTGATGAAGTGGAAGAGCGTGAGCGACATGAGGAAACCAAGGTGCCGATTCTGTCGAAGTGAAGGGGGGGGAAACTCCACGACTGCACGTGTCCATGGTAAACCTTTCTGGATTTCACTGCTGCCAGGGCACTGATGACAAGGTCAAGTTCAAGAGGCTGGGCAAACAGGCCAAGGTCGACGCCCTGCCAGAGGGATCCGGCGAAAGCGAGGGCGATGACGGCGCCAAGAACCCGAAAGCCGAACTTGCGAATTCCTTTAAGAAGGAGACAGTGGGTTGATTTCCCTTTTTGGTCAGCGTTGTGAGTTGACCCCAAAAAGCTGTTGCATGCCTCAGGTTGAAACCGTGACAAAACCCTTGGTCACCGTTTTGAATGGGCTACACACTCCGGTAGGACTTTGACAAGCTGAAGAAGTTTGGGGACTCGCTCCTCACTCGATGCACCAAGATCTCCGACCTCATCGCTCAGATTCAAGTTGAAGTGGAAGGGTCAAAAGATGATCAACAAAAGGGTCGGGCAAAAACGCCTGAGTCCCAGCTGGCTGGAAATGTTGCCCTGTACTTTTTTCAAAAAAGGAAGTGGCACAAGTGGAGCCTGATCAGCGGTGTGTCCAAAATGGATCCCTTTTCATTTAAGAGATGCAAAGGGGTGTCCTTTTTTTCGTTCTTAACCCTACCGCTTTGGTTCGACTCAATGTGTAAAGTTGGAGTCTAAGAGGCTCCGTTTTGCACACACCCAACATAAGCCCTTTGCATGTTGACGGAGAGGTGTTTCTACCCCAAACAGAGCCTGTTACATGTTGAGGGGTTCTCATGAGTTTCATTTGCCCCTATAAGGCAGCCCCTTTCACATTGCAGGTGCTGAGCCCAAAACGGATCGAAACCTTCATGGAATCCAATGAAGTTGCTCTTGAAACCGGAGCGTGTTACATGTTGAATGATGTTGAGCCTCAAACTTCTCCTCTTTACTTGAAGTTCCCCAAAAAAGGAGCCCTGTATCTTGATTCCAAAGTGGAGGTCTTTACATGTTACCTCTTGCTTTACGTGAAGCTGCCCCTAGTTGCAACCAAAGCGGAGCCCTCGCCAAAGGAAGCCCTCTGAGCCCTTTACAGTTGTTGCCCGAAAAAAGCCTTTACACATGCTGTTCGCCACCCTTGACATGTTGAGAGATGTTGAGCCCTTTACACAAACGAAGTTCCCCCTCCCCCCCAATGGGGACCTTTACGCAAATGGCTGTTCGCGTGAACTAAGCCACCCTGAAATGGAGCTCTTTTTAAATCGTGGGTTTGCATGAAGTTGTTTTGAGAGGTGGTGAGCCCAAAATGGATATAGCTCGATCGACCTTGACTGAGGGATGATGAACCCCAAAAAGACAGCTTCCCAAACAAGAGGCTTTTACAAGTTGAAACCGGGGTGTTGGGCCCTCCACATTTTTGATTCTGGGGTGGGGCTCTTTATCAGAAAGTGCACTTCCCGGTGGCGGCCAAGGTGCATCGAGGGCTTGGAGGGAGCCATTCAAATCCTGGAGTCCGAGTTCGAGTCGGTCGAAGCCGTCAAGGCTGATGTGGTGGATTTGCAGGACGAGGAAATCTCCGAAAGCCGGGGCAAAGAGCCAATTGCTTAAATTCAACATCAACATTTGGATCATGTTGCAGTTTGCAATGGGTATACTCACAAAGCTGATTTGCAGGGTTCCTGATGGGTGTCGGAATGCGGGGACAGGATTCGCACTTTCACTTGGGAGAAGTGGGAGGGGTGGAATCGCTGTGTGGCCACTCAGGTTGAACGGAAAAGCAGTGGCTGCCATCAAGAAGACAACAGTTGCGCGCCCCGACCAAACCAACTCAAGAGGCTTCCGTTTTTTGTAGTCCAAGAAAGGCAAGGGGTCAATTTCTATTTCGCGCTGATTTGCTGAGGTGCTCAAAGGTCACCACGAAGGAAACAGCTGGAAAGCTACTTGGCCTGAGTTTGTATATCTTTGTTTGGGGGTTTTGTGTATGATCCCACCCCTCAAAGCCAATTGGTGCACTGGGCCAAGGAACTTGTTGAAGGCCTTGCAGAAGGTCAACAACTCCTGATCCACTGCCGTGAGCTATTTGAATGCTTGCTTTGCCTCCGAGAGACAAAGCTTTTAGGGGTTCGCATGTGTGCTTCAACCTGCGCATATGTGCTGGGGTTCCAACACGTGCTTCACGCGCACGTGCTTTGACTCAATCTCACTTACGGTGCGCCATGTGAGTTACACATGCGTGCGTGGTGATTGATGGCGTGGTGATGATGAAAGCGGCGGCGTGCGTGATTGCGATCTAGAGCATGCCAGTGTTGCAGCCAAGCCTGTCAACTTGCACGACTGCTTTCCTGGAAGTGTTCAACCATGCAGTTGTCAAGCCGTGAGCTGCCAGGCAATTGGAATGATCTTCCACCAGAACGCGATCCACTGGTGGCCCGCTACGCACAGCTAATCTCCAATGGTGCCGGGCCCCAAGCAATGCCTTGCAAGCCCGTTCAGTGAAAGAAAAATCTGTGCAACACTTGTAGCGCAACCTCGACCGCTCCGAAACTGCATCTACAAGTCGAATTTGAACTTACAGGCTTCAATTGTTTGAGCGAGCCAGACCCCAGGCCCTACCGAAAACTTTGTAGATCCACACCTATGTTTCCTGACACTGCGCTTTTGCGAGCTAAGCGGGGAGTGTGACCAATTGTGTAAACTGCCCTTTCCACCCAGTGGTTTGCAGCCATGGATGATCTTCTGGACCTGCTGACCTACGACTGCCCTGTAACTGGCATGAAACGAACCGCAGGTGTTCCTGATGGAATTCACGAGTGTTGGGCAGCGAAGCAACAAAAGTGTTTTGGCTGCGGTGACCTGTACTTGTTTTGACGCTCCAGGCATGACCTTTGCCATGCTCAACCAAGGATTGATCACACACCTGCTCTGCATGAGCCTGAGCACGAATACAATGACTACTTTTTTCGGGGCTGCGAAAAGCAACGACCAGCTCTGAGCAGTCCTGCTGAGCCGCCTTGCCGGCCATCCATGGCAGCTGCAACTTGGCCACTGTGAATGCTTCAAGTGTGTTATAGTTGTGTCATGTGCAATGTGCCTGCTCTTGGGCAAATCGCTTTACTTGATTCATTGCGTGACACAAGGACAACTCCCTGCAGTTGAAAGCCCTTGCTGATCTGGGGCAGACCTTCAAATATGATTCTGCTTTTGACTGGGCTTCAGTCCGCAAATTTGGTGTTGTGAACCACTGCTTACCCGCTCGTCGCAATGTGATTTGCGGGACAATTCTGGCCCATGCCAAAGACAAAGTCACTGCATTTCGCGAGGGCATGGGAATCCGAGTGTGCAGTTTTAAGATTGGTGTAACCTCTAACCCTTTCCTCCGATATCCTTTCTATCTTGAAAAGGGGTACAGCTTGATGTGGCTGATAGCTACATCGCCAAGCACCGATCTAATTCACATGCTGGAAGCCGCATTGATTTCGGAGTTTCACAAACATGTCGGCTGCCAGAACAAGGGTGGCACTGGTGGGGAGGGAGCCCTGAACAGGGGGCAGCCAGCTGCCCCGCCATATTTTGTTTATGTGACAGGAGGTCGTGCTGATCAACCCCGCCGTGTGGGTTGATCCCTTTAGCTTTAGGACTCAATTTGAGGCATCTTTGCTTGGGGTAAAAAAGGTTGGCAAGCCACACGCTTTGTTTGCCACCCCTGATTCATGAGCATCATCCAGCATCATGTGCGGCGGCAAGCGTGTCAGCTGAATCTTTTGTGCGTGTTGAATCGACATGAACAAAACTACGCTCAGGTCCCAAGCGCGCATGTGGTCCAGCTGGCCAAGGCGCAGGTGCAGTCGCATGCAGCTAACAGCAGCGCGGAAATGAGGCAGTTGTCGCGTGTGCGCCTTCAAGATGCCGAGGTTGGTTGTCACCAAGTATTCAAACAACATGGATACTGTCTTCCCATCAAAGTGGAGACTGTTGATTTGGGCCCTGGTGAGTTGAAGCAGTTCCCCTACATGCTTGTGAGCAGCTGGGCGCAGTATCTCATGGACACGGGTAGGTTGCCAAGGCAATTGTGCGGGGTGCCTACATTCAGTGAAATGGAGGCTACGCTGGAAGAGTTTTGGAGAAGGTACAAAGAACTTTATCCCAACCATAGCATTTTTGCTGCTGCAAGCGAGGGTCAAGTGCAGCTATCGCACGCCATACCATTTTACAGTCACACTGATGAAGGCAGAAGTTTGAAACACCTCCCACTTTGGGTTCTATCAGTTCATGGGTGTCTTGGCAGAGGAACCAGAGCCTACCTTGCCAGCGGCAAACACAAAGTTCCCCTACGCAGGCGTGGAATGGGCCTGAACTTCATTGGAAAGACGTGGTCGACTCAATTCCTTTTCGCAACAATGCTACGCTCTGTGTCAAAGAAACACCCGGCTGCTTTGGATAAGTTGATCGGCTTGTTTGCGGACGATTGCGCAAAGCTGGCGGCCCATGGCATCACCAGCAAGAATGGCCAGCATCATGTATGGCTGGTTCACTTTGCCAACAAAGGAGATTTACCAGCGCTTGCAAAAATCGCATCCTTGAAAAGATCTTTCTCGCATGTACCTCGGGCTGCCTCAAGCAAGAAACCGTGTGTGGGGGTATGTCATCTTTGTCTTGCCGGACAAGAAGCTACTGCGGGTGGGCTACAGCATTTTCCATTTGAGGATTTGTCAACGCGGCCAAGCTGGTTAAGCACCCTGGAAGTTTCGACACCGTGGGATTCTGAACCAAGCATCTTGCGGGGGCACCCTTACTTGGATAGGACCAGACTTGCCCATTTCTTCGCCACCGACATTTGGCACAACATGGCTCTAGGCATCGCGAAACATTGGATTGCGTCCGCGTTGGTATCCATTTTGGAGCGCGGCGAATTGCCTTGCGGCTCTGATATTACGCCCAATGACATCTTTGCTTGGATGACTTCTGATTTCAAGGCTTTTTGCAAAAGGAACCACATTCAGCCCCATTCAAGCGAGATCTCTAGGGAAACCCTTGCCTGGCCGTCTTCCAACAAGTGCCCTCAAGGAACCTGGCACAAGGGGTCCATGAGCACCCACCTCATGAATTACTTGGAGGACCTTTGCCAACGGCATGTGGTGGGCAAAACGGATGACTCCCTTCTACTGGCTGTAGCCCCATGGCGGCATGAAGATCTGTTAAAAGTAACAGCGTAGCGTGTAAAGTCTTTTCTTGGCTTTATCCAGCTGTGCTTCCAAACCTTTTTGAGTGCAAGAGTTGCATGTGCTCAGAACCCTGCCTTTTATCGTTGCCCTCCAAGGCTAAAGGGACATTGATGCTCAATACTGGCTTGGCCTTCATGTACCGCAGTGGCTTTTGGATCCCACGACGTGACGGGCTTCGCTTGGCAAGGTGGCTGTTCGCGTTCCAGTCCGCCTACATGAAGTGTGCCAAAGTTTCCCTAGATGAGGGTCGCAACCGATTCGCAATCACACCCAAGCAGCATATGTTTCACCATACCCCGGTCCGCCTTGTGGCTGAATGCGCCGCAGGAGCATTTTGCATGAACCCTCTTAGTGAGTCTGTTCAGATTCAAGAAGATTACATCGGCCGGCCATCACGCTTGTCGCGTCGGGGTGACATTAGGGCACTTCACATGCGTGTAGCTCTTTGCTCTTGAGCAATCTGATCGCGATCATCGCGGTCAGTAGGTTTGAGTATTTCCTGCGCTGATCGATTTAGTGTTTCGGCTGCATCATCAACATCTCTGGCTGTGTGTTGGCATCATCAGCATGCTTTCAGCTTAAGCTGCATCTTCGGCCCATCGGTCAGCGCTCGCTTTGGGGGTAGTGCTGCTTTGGCAGCTGGCTTTGGGGTTAGCCCTACTATGACGCGTGGCCAAACGGGGTGGCAAACAAGTGCGTGTGCTGCTTTCTTCAGTTTCTTCTAAGGGCCCAAAACCAAAAGGGGCGTACTTTTTTCAAAGGGCCGTGTTTCGGGCAAAGGGCCGAGTTTTGAAAAAAAAGGCAGGTCGGACGCGAAACTGAAGGACCAACCGGTCCCAGGTGGTTTGTACCCCCCATGTCCAAAAAAGATCGCACGCACGGGCTGCATTAAAAGGGGAAGAGTGAAAAGGCAGGCAGGCCCTACACCCTGTGAAGGCCCCTGGGTCATGGATTGTCATTTTTACGATCTGTTACCACCATACTACGTAACCAGCTATCAGCCATGTTCATCCGGGTTTGGAAGGGTGGCTTGGTTAACAACTACACAGGGAATTGGAATCACTAGCTTGGTTTGTGTATCGCCAAAAAGGGCGGGTTTGATTGAGCAATTCCGGCGGGGGCTGTCATGAAAAACATCTCCATTTTGAACAAGGGGGGAACTGAGAGGAAACGAGCCACAGTGAAGAGGACCTAAATGCTGGCAGAGGTTCAAAGGCAGGCGCATCAGCATCTCGGGGGTGGCTCGAGGGTAGGGCACGGAGCCCAGCTCGTCCTCAGGCAGAATCGGACTTGGCTGAAAGCTCAAGGGCCCGAGACGAACAAACAGTTCAGAGGCTGTGGATTATGTTTTCTTTCGGGACCTTTGATGGACATGTCGGGGAGTTA